ACTATCTGAGAGACTGTGCGGGTCGCCTTTTGGCGTTTCAAGGCCCTTGCTAGGAACTTCCCCGCTTTATTGCTGTGCTCATTATATATTTTGCTGCGGGATATAAAGGCCTTTTTGGTATTCTCATGGATCAGTTGAAGGAGATCATTACGCGCTTGGGTCAGTTCCGACAAATGAGACTGTGCCAAGGATCGTTTGTGGAGTTCCTCTAAGGTGGCTATGCGGGCAAGTAGAGCGGCGCTTCGGGCTTTATTCCGTTTGTGGATGAGGGCTTGAATACGGATGAATTCCCCTCTAATTACACTTTTGTGAGCTTCCCACAACATCAGTGGGGAAGAGCAAGAGTCGGTATTCAAGGAAAAGAATTCGTGGAGCTTGCTTTGTATCGAGGATACGTGGTTAGGTTCTCCTAACGTGGAAGGATTCAGTTTCCATACATGAGAGTGGGAGGAGTGTATAGGGAGTGTGATGGTCATAGATATCGGAGCATGGTCTGAAAGGACCATAGGTTCAATTGTGGCCCCTACCAGGTTGGGCAGGTCTCTTTGAGAAAGGAAGAGAAAATCCAATCTGGAATAGATAGAGTGTGGGTGGGAGAAGAAAGTAAAGTCCTTTTACTGTGGGGTGGAGGAATCTCCATGTGTCGTGAAGGTTAAGGGATGTCAGGAGTTTTTTGATTATGCGTAAGCTACGGAAGGGGACCGATGATTTGCCAGTGGAGAAGTCTAGGACAATGTTCAATGGTACGTTGAAGTCCCCACCTAGAATGAGCCTTCCCTCGGTAAAGTCCTGTAGCAATGAGAACACTTTGTGAAAGAATTGGGCTTGGCCAGCGTTGGGACAGTAGAGATTAGCAATGGTAATCGGGGTGTTATGCAGCATGCCTTTAACTACCTCCGGGCCGGCCGTAGTAAAAAAACGGCAAACAACGAAACAACCACAGAGTGATTCAAACCTAAGACAGGGTGGAGGACCCACCACTGTGTAATATAGTCAAGGAAACATGGTTCAGTATTCCAAGGACCATGACAGAAGATATAACGGCCTTCCGGGTCAATTAGTTGATCAGTGATTTGAAGGTTAATGTGGGCCGAGACAATGATGGATACCCATTTAGATTTGGAGCTAGCCGATGTGGAGTGATAGACTATAGGAAACTTGCGGTTGGCTAATTTGGGTATGGCGTCTGATCTGAAATGTGTTTCCTGAAGTAGCACTATTTGAGCTTTGTGATGTGAGAATGCCCAAAGGAATTGGGATCTCTTTTCCGGAACGTTGAGTCCCTTGGCATTCATCGATAGGACTTTCACTGAGAGTGGAACGTTGCGGTTGGTGGTGTCGGACTTGTCCATGGTGTTTGGGCGTAATCGAGGAGGGAAGGTGATGCGCGTAGTGGAGGAACAAGGGGTGGGTCAAATCTTGCTAGAAATGGAAGGAAGTGGGCGAGAAGGAAGAAGGAGGGGGGAGCGTAAGAGATGAAAGAGGTACGAGCGGGAAACAGTGAAGGTAGGGGATGAGATATCTGCAAGAAGAAGAGATAAAGAGCAGAGGGAGGGAGATGTGAGGAGGGTAGGCAAAAACACAAGAGGAGGAATAGGTGTAGGACAAAGGAGGGAAGGGAAAGGTAACTACAGCCCGAGAGATATGGTCTATATCCCAAATCTCAACATAAAGTAAGTCGTCGGGCTGATAGACTCGACACACTGTGCATGTTCGGTCTTGTGGGGATGTGACTGGGGTGAAGAACCAAGAGGGACTCTCAGGGCACCTGGGTCCTGCAATTTTTTATTTAGGGCAAGGAATAAGGGGGTAGTAGATATGGAATAGGGAGCTGTGTTATGGGGTCTGGGGATCACTCCAATCAAATGGGAAACACGGAGAAACGACTACTGAGACCTATGGTGAGATAAGATAGGCACGACTATAGGAGCGGCGTTCAACCCTTGCAACAACTAAAGGGAACAGCCAAGTGTGAGTCATATTGTGGGCATGGCCCCCGTCTATACATAAGCCTTGTAGCAACGTTTGGTCATAATGCAAAAAACATGGATTTAGTCAACAGTATGAAATAAAACCTTATAACATTTACAATAGCGTCAGCAGGACAAATAAAAGGTAATACACAGCAAAGTTTGTACCGGTGTGACAGCGTCTGCTTCAGACAGTGGTCCCCTTATTCTCATCCGTGGGAACATGGATAAGAGGCGACGGGTGATCAGACCTAGGGAGGGGAGGGCTGGGTTTAGCGGTAAGGATAAGTGGCTGCAAGGCAGTGCAAATGGGATTGAACAGGACGACCCCCTATCCGCACCCCCGGCCCCTGAACCATTCTGCAGGGAGTTGCCCGGTCTCCCGATCGAGTGTTAGTCCCATATACCCAACCGTGCCATGTAACAAAAACGAGGTAGAGCCGCGTACCTTTACAGCCATTCAGTACTGCAGTTGAGCATTGTAGAAGAGGATACTTCGTTCAGGTTGGCACACTGGGGTCAAAGGGGATAAGCTTCGAGTAATCGGAGATCAAGGAGGCCGGAAGGCGCGGGGAAAGGGTACGACCC